ATATTAAAACTGGAGGGGGTCAAAGTTTAAATTTTTGGTCTAACATGGAATATTTGAAAAATTTGTAGTTTCTTTAAAACAAAACGAAAATACGTTTTCTATTTTGGGTTTTTCTGCTGTTTTTCAACACTCTCTAATGGTGTAAGCAAATGTAGAGAAAAAAAATGTTTGACCTTCAAAAATTAAATTAAAAAATAAAATCTCATTTTTTCATCAAATGGACAGTTTTTATTTTTTAAACAAAATTTTTATCATAAAGGTGAGGTTTTTTCCTAAAAAAAATGTATAGGTCAAAACGTGGGACAAGAACTTTTAACTGGTCAAAATAAACATTTACTTCTGCAATCCACCGCCCCTGCTCGTTGTTGGGCTATATATTGTTTATAACAATTGAAATAAATTATTTTATGCTTTATTAAGTATCTGGTGGTCATATTGGATGAATTTAAATTGATTTAGATCATGTGCATCAACGGAATAAGAAAATAAACCTCCTTTTTTTAAAAAAGTGTATTAATTTGTTAACTTTGATTTAAAAAAAATTATAAATAATTAAAATCTCCAAAGTCTGCCTCGAAGGATGTCTTAAGAATTTATTCCCCTTTAACTTAAGACAAAGAACACTCAAATCGGTTAAAAATTGTAAGCTATAGACATTTTTTAATAGTAAATTGTAAAAAAAATTCCACTGTGGGACGGTGCACGGCAGAAGTAAATGCTTAATTTGACTAGTTAAAAGTTCTTGACCCACGTTTTGACCTATACATTTTTTTTAGGAAAAAACCTCACCTTTATAATAAAATTTTTTTTAAAAAAATACAAACTGCCCATTTGATAAAAAAATGAAATTGTATTTTTTAATTTAATTTTTCAAGGTCAAACAATTTTTTTTCTCTACATTTGTTCACACTATTAGAAAATGTTGAAAAACAGCAGCAAAACCCAAAATAGAAAACGTATTTTCGTTTTGTTTTAAAGAAACTACAAATTTTTCAAATATTCCATGTAAATTTTTGACCTGGGTCACTTGACGTGGAACCCGTCATATTTGGAAATATTACACGATTTCCTTAGAATTTCCTTAAGAAAAAATTCGTAAAAGTGTAGAAAAAAACTAAAAAAAAAACTTTTGCTCCCAGCGTTGCACAAACAAAAGTAAAAAATGTCAAATTGAAGAAATAAGGTATACTACACATGGTTGTTTCAAATTTCTAAACAACACTTTTGACAATTTCGCCAGTTCGGAGATATTGACCCCTGGCCGGTTCACCCACCGGTCCGGTTTGCCCCACTCTCCCCTAATAATAATAATAATAATATATAAAATATAAAAAAATTAAATATATATTATATATTATTATAATATATATATTATATATATATATATATATATATATATATATATATATATATATTAGGTACCTATATATTTATTTTTAATTTTATAATATATAAAATAATAATAATATAGGGTGGGGTGGGGCATTACTATTCTTGTTTGGATTTTTGAGTCTACAAAATTTATTTAAAAAAAAATTAAAAAATGAGTAGGACCGTCTTCTCGATCAATAAGTGCATATACACTTATAATAAGTGAAATTTCACTCAGAATAAGTGAAATTTCACATATTCAGATTTAGAGAGTAACTCGATTCTGTTCTGAACTGCATCGGTTTTACGAAAAAACATTTTTTTTATGTCGAAAAAAACAAGGGGCGTAACTACCCAGTGAGAAATTTCTTACCGGTCCAATATCGGTCCAATATTGGGAGCTAAGAGACCAATCATCGGTCCAATAAAGGCTCCCAATATTGGACCAATATGGGCTGATGCTTGGGATGTAACGGGTTCGCCAAGCATCGGTTGTTAATATTGGTCCAATATTGGCCGAATATTGGCAACCAAGAGAAAAAAATTTTTTAAATAAATTTTTTTAATTAAATAATAGGTAATAATAAAAAATTAATGTTTATAATTTTTGTTTAATATATTTATTTGTTTAATTATTTATTTTTAATAATTCATGTAAATAATAAATAATTTATTATTTATAAATTATAATTATTTAAAAATGCAGCAACTATTAGGAAATAATCGAAATAGCATTCTGCAAAAAAATTCTATCATTGAAAAATCAATGATAGGCGAGAGATATCCGCGTCATTAAACAGATTCGCAGATATACTCTGGTCTCGCGACGAATCTCTCCTTACTTATATACACTGGAGTCAGTGGCGGAACTACCATAGGGCAAACCGGGCGAAATCCCGGGGCCTCGCGACTTTGGGGGCCCCGCGATTAAGACGATTTAAATATGAAACTTAGATTATTATTAATTTTTTAAATTATTTTATTTATTTATTATATTTATTATTATTTTTCATTTTATTAAATTATTAAATTATTATTGATATTTAATATGAAAATATTTGAAACTAAAAATCTTGTTTAAGGGGGCAGTCTGGGTCTTTTGCACGTATTTTGAAGAATTTTTTTTTTCATAGTGAAATTTATTTAAAAACATTTTAAAATTTTTACATATTATTACACATATATTAAACTAAATAAAAAAAAAAAATTTCTATTTTTTTTGTTCTTAATAGCGAAGAAATGTCGACTTGAAAAAAAAATCTCGAAAATCTGGTTGACATGACATCTTTAGTCAGAACAGACGGAATTAAAAAATTCAAACGGATTAGTAAAATATAGGTAAGTGGTTACAGCCGGAACTAAAATAAAAATTTTTTATTGAAAAATAACAAAATGGCGGACTTTTTACTTTTTTAAACCTTCTTTTGCAACTAAAATTGTTTAAAAAACAGGTTAAAAATTATTTAAAAATTATGATTTTAGTTCCGGCTGTAACCACTTACCTATATTTTAATAAATCCGTTTGAATTTTTTGATTCCGTCTGTTCTGACTGAAGATTATCATGTCAACCAGATTTTCGAGATTTTTTTTTCAAGTCGACATTTCTTCGCTATTAAGAACAAAAAAAATAGAAAATTTTTTTTTTTTATTTAGTTTAATATATGTGTAATAATATGTAAAAATTTTAAAATGTTTTTAAATAAATTTCACTATGAAAAAAAAATTCTTCAAAATACGTGCAAAAGACCCAGAATGCCCCCTTAAATAAATTCTAAAGATAAAATTTTTACTTTAATAAATATTGTAATCATTCTATTGTCAAATTGTTATAATAAATTATACTAAAATTTTTACTTATGACTTTGAGTAAATATACTTTAAGCTTGTTATCTAGTCTCAACATTCTTCCTTAAATATTTCTTACGACTAGAAAAACTTAATAAATGTTTTGAAAGAGAATCAGGAGTAATTTTATTATTGCTGTAAGGTACACGGAAAAAAAAGTACGTGAAATTTTCATTGACTCGATACTTGCGACTTTTGGATACGACACAAAATACTGAAAACAGTCTTGTACTTTTGCATGAGAGTTTCAAAAGCAGTCAATGAAAATTTCTAGTACCTTGCTTGAGAATTTCATTGACTTTCAAAAAAATTGTAAAATAAAAAAAATAATTTCCACTTGTTCACCAGTAGCGTAACAAGAGAGGCCGGGGCCCTGGGGCGAGTAAAGCCTTGGGGCCCACTAGTAGAAATGAAATTTGATTAACAGTGGGAAATACCAAATACACGGAAAAAAAGTACGTGAATCCTTCCTTGAAAGTGCTTGACTTTTGGATAGGACACAAAATACAAGGCTGTATCATATACTTTTTATTAGAAAATATAGAAAAGTCCTAGAGTTATTCTAGTACTAGTATGGGCAACAGTGTTTTTTAAATTTTAACGAAAAGTCATTTGTTCAGTTTTATAAAGTACGTGAAAGATTAGTTGACTGCGCTTGAAAATTCTGTAGAGCATGCGCAGTGTGCGTTGCGCGTTTCTACCCAAGGTAAATGCCAGCTGATCGTCTGTTTCCATTTGTGTTAATTTCAGATGTGAATATACTATTATTTTATGAAAAACAAATAGTGTTAATATATATTTGTCTTCAAGAATTGACTTTCAAAAAAATATTTTTTATTTTGTGTTTCTCACAAAACAGAATGTTATGTAAGTCTCAGTTTTCAGTGAAATAGCATATCTCAGAAGTTGTGAAAAATTTCACCATGTGGTATATAAGAACAATTCGATACGTACTTTTAAGTGTTAAGTGTGTGTTTATATTTAAGTTATACGCGAATATATGTGTGTGTTATAGGTTAGTTTATAAGTGTTGACGAACGTCGAAAAGTGATACAATAATTGTTCTTTGTTTGTGTGATTAATTATCCAAATATGTGAATGAATGAGTGAATTTCAGAAAAACTGTGTGAACAAGTGGAAATTATTTTTTTTATTTTACAATTTTTTTGAAAGTCAATGAAATTCTCAAGCAAGGTACTAGAAATTTTCATTGACTGCTTTTGAAACTCTCATGCAAAAGTACAAGACTGTTTTCAGTATTTTGTGTCGTATCCAAAAGTCGCAAGTATCGAGTCAATGAAAATTTCACGTACTTTTTTTTCCGTGTACCTTACAGCAATAATAAAATTACTCCTGATTCTCTTTCAAAACATTTATTAAGTTTTTCTAGTCGTAAGAAATATTTAAGGAAGAATATTGAGACTAGATAACAAGCTTAAAGTATATTTACTCAAAGTCATAAGTAAAAATTTTAGTATAATTTATTATAACAATTTGACAATAGAATGATTACAATATTTATTAAAGTAAAAATTTTATCTTTAGAATTTATTTAAGGGGGCATTCTGGGTCTTTTGCACGTATTTTGAAGAATTTTTTTTTCATAGTGAAATTTATTTAAAAACATTTTAAAATTTTTACATATTATTACACATATATTAAACTAAATAAAAAAAAAAATTTTCTATTTTTTTTGTTCTTAATAGCGAAGAAATGTCGACTTGAAAAAAAAATCTCGAAAATCTGGTTGACATGATAATCTTCAGTCAGAACAGACCCCAGGTAGAAAAATTTAATGGAAGCCTAGATATATGCTAGCGCCACCACTGGAATTTGTATGGCAGTTTATCTCGCCGACGTCTTCTAGCGCCTTGCATGGCGCGAGCACTTTCTGCTAGAATGCAACATAACCACAAATATCGCTGTTGCATAAAGTGTCAACGGTGTTTGTTTTTTTGTTTCGTTTGGAGTTTACAAACATGTTTATTTAATATTGTGGCATTTTAAAACAATAATAGTAAGGAAATGTAAGTATTTATATATTTGTAATTTTTATTAAATTTAAATATAGATTAATAATGTATTAAAAATTTCTTGGTCTTTCGTTAATTCATATACATATTTATAAAATAATTTTTAGTTTGTGAATGTTTTATTCATCCTCTAAGGAAATTTTTAAAAATATTTTAAGTAATTAATCTAACAATTTATCACCAAGAATAACAATAAATACTTTTGATGAATTAAACATATTAATTTCTCTAAATTCAAAATAGAAAACATAACCTCAAACTGGATTTATGTTTTCTTTATTTTTAATTGACCTGTCAGAACAGTTTTATTGGTTTTAAATAAGAACTTAACTTTTGCAATTAAATTATAAGTGATTTTTTAATAATAATTTAGACTTTGGGAGATAATTTTCATAAACTAATATGTATATATAATTCCACAAGTTTAACAAGTGTGATGTAAAAATTAAATTAGAGTTTGCGTTACACAATATCTTTTATATTTAAGTAAGGATTAACGTTTTTTAATTATGTATATTTTGATCTGTTTAGTAAACATTAATTTATTGTTTTAAGATTCATCACAATGGAAAATAAAAAACGAAAGCGGAATAAAAACACAATTCGCACGAGAAAATATAGAGCTATATCTAAAGCTAAAAATTATCGAAGAAGCGATTCTAATTCATCGTCGGACAACGATAATTTTGCAAATAATGAAAGTTCTTCAGACGGTAAGACTAATTTGTATTTTGAAACCAAAAAAGTGCAATACGACAAATTCTTAAGACAAAATTTTTTGGTCGTCAAAATATTTTTCTCAAAAACTCGGTTAAGGAATATTCAAAAATATGTATCATAATTTGTTGTTATTTATTCACATTTTCTTTTCGTAATAAGGTGGTATAAAATTTTTAAAGTAGAGTACAGATGATTATAAAATATTTTTTAACACATTTAGAAACATTAATAAAATAATAATAATAATATAATAAATATGTATATAATGTATATATGTATATTATGTATATAATTAATATTATATACATAATATAAACATTTTCTCATTTCTTGACCAAAGGCCACAACAAATAACCACCAATTATTAATAAAATGTACAATTTTTTAATGAATCAAAATAAAAAATCACTATTTAAAAAATTGTTTTTATTTATTTAAATAATTGTTATTATTTAGGTGAAATACTACGCTCTATAGGAAACAATGAGATTCCAGTGAATGACTGTAGAAAGAATTTTCCACGAAGATCTGAAGAAGAGATAAATATCGATGACAGTAATAGCAATTTTAGTAGCAATTCTGATGACGATGATGATGATGATGATTCTGATGATGATGGTGATGACGATGATAGTGATGTAAATCAAGATCAACTCGACATTCTCCGCCTTCGTACCTGGGCCATCGAAGAAAAAATAGACCAAAACAAATTGGATAAGTTGTTGCACATTTTAAGACGTAGATTATTAACTGACTTGCCAAAATCATCAAAAACATTTTTGAAAACAACGGAAGCTAAGTACGAAATCGAAAAAATGAATGACGCTGAAGGCAATCCAGGAGAATTTGCGTATTTCGGTTTGAAAAAAGGCTTAGAAGATACTATTAACCCTGAATTGCATCCAAGCAAGGAAATAGAGTTAAAATTGTCTGTTGATGGCATTCCACTTTCAGATTCTGGTGATACATCTTTTTGGCCTCTTCTTTGTCATGTGTATTCTGATTCGGACATCTACGCACCTTTTCCGGTGTCAATTTTTTCTGGAAAGTCAAAACCTGAAAGTACTCAAATCTATTTCAAACAGTTTGTAAGTGAAGCGAATGATGTATTAGAAAATGGGATTAACGTTTCGGGACACCATTTTTTAGTAAAAATAAAGTGTTTCATTTGCGATACGCCAGCCAGGGCATTTTGTAAAAATACTGTTGGACATCACGGAAAATTCGCTTGTGAGAGATGCATTGTAAAAGGAACGAAAAAAGATGTTGGAAGTACTGTTTTCCCATCAAGAGATTGCAAGGAACGATCCGACGAATCATTTCGACAACAAGAGCAACCTCAACATCACAATGGTCTATCAAAATTGCTAAAAGTTAAACCTAAAATTGACATGGTTTTCCAGTTTGTACTTGACTTTATGCATCTATGCTGCCTCGGAATGATGAAAAAATTAATTGAAATATGGATGAGTGGCAATTTAAATACACGATTGGACGTAAAAATGAAAGATATTTTATCAGATAGAATTTTGATCCTGGAACCGCAAATACCTTGCGAGTTCCAACGAAAGTTGGGGCTGTTAAGAAAGTATTCAAAATGGAAAGCTACACAATTTTATTTTTTTTTAATTTACTGCGGACCAATAATTTTAAAAAATGTACTTCGACCTCGATTGTATAAGCATTTTCTCCTTTTACACGCAGGTTGTAGAATTTTATGCTCTGATAGACTATGTTTAATCTACAATCGTTTTGCTAAAGAATATCTGAGGGCTTTTTTCGAAGGCTTAAAACATTTCTATGGTAAATATACATTGACGATAAACTCCCACAATTTAATTCATCTGGCTGATGATGTGTGGTATATGAAGTGCAGTCTCAACAGAATTTCAGCTTTTGTATTTGAAAATTTTTTGGGAACATTAAAAAGAAAAATAAGAACTCCAAACAGACCGTTGGCTCAAGTCTGCAGAAGAATGTTTGAAGAAAAATCTGTCAATGACAAAAAAGCAAATCGACCTCCAGAGATACAAATTCTCAAAAAGAAAAAATCAAATATATTAAAAATAAAATACAAAGAGTATACATTTACGACTAAAGAACCAGATAATGTTGTTATGCTAAAAAACAAAAAATTTCTTCAAATTAGAAAAATTAGAGAAACTCGGTATGGAATCCAAATCGATGGATTTGTTTTTAAAAAAAAATCACCCCTGTTTGATTATCCCTTCGATTCCAGTATTTTGGACATGTGGGAGATAGAAAGAGAACGTGGAAAAAGATTGAGAAGTTATTTTCTTCAGGCGATAGAAGTGAAAGCTATGAAAATCAGCATGGCTTTAAAACTAGACGGAATTAAGCGCTATTTCGTTGTACCTCTCCTTCATCACTAAATTTACAATCAATTTTTTAAATTTAATTTGTTCAGTATAAATTCATCAGTTTGTATGGCATTCATTATATGTAAAAAAATTATAAAAACGTCTTATTAAAATTTCTAAACCTTCATTTAATATTAATTTCTTTTATTTAAATTTTAAATTTTTTGTCTATTAAATATTAATATTTATTAAAATTTCTATTTATTATAATAACCTAATAATTATTTTTTAACTAATTATTCACATAATTTATGGCATTTAATTTTACTATTCTATGTTCTATTAAATTTATAAAAATATTTCTTTATTATTTATAGTCGAATAGCGATTGAATTTAAAATTTGTTTCTTAATTTACCGTACAAACTAAATTTACTAATTGCTTTTGTTTCTTTTCAATTTAACATTGCATGTTATTTGAAAATTGTTTTTAAATAATAATGCAAACTTACTGCATAAAATACTCTTATTATACACTTGTTTAAAGTCGCTTTAGAGTAAGGAGAGCAAACTATTTGAAAAATGTTCCCGCCAAGAATTTTCTCCGTCACTCTCACTAGATTGTGGCGCAAGCGCATTTGAATTATCATTAAGGCTATGTCCAAGTTGTGAAATGTAAACAAACCAAAAGGTTACTATACCAGCACTAAAATCGCAATTTTTCGACAGCCAATTCTCCCACAAAAAATAACAATTTTACACTTTTTCTACAAAAATGGAAAATTAGAGTTTCAAAATGTCCAAAAATATCATTTTTGGCTATGAGCAATAAAAAGCAATTAGTAAAATAACTAAATAAAATGACCTGTAAAATGGCATTTTTGACACGTCGCGAAAAATAAACTGTTTGAGTATATCAACCGCACGGATGATGAAGAAGTCTTATGTCAGCGATTGGACCTTCAACATGTGGAAAGGGAAATTTTTCCCTTTCCTCCTTGAAATTACAAGAGAAAGGGTAAAAACTTCTTCATCGTCCGTGCGGTTGATATAGTCAAACAGTTTAATTTTTCGCGACGTGAACTCTGTTGCTCGCTGCGCGTGCGCAGACCGTACCAAGGTCGCAATGACATGACCATGCAAAAAGGCACATTTTTTTTTTGACTGAATCTCAGTGGTTTTCTCATTTTTTCAGTTATTCAAAGTTTAGTTACCAAATTCGATACTTTAGTTCGCCATTTCCATAAAGAAAATGTGAATTTATATTTATTTACGCAAATGGGAACCGCGAAAAAATGCTTCACTATTCGGTCTATAATAGGGCATTTTTTCGCTGTTCGCATTTGCGTAAATAAATATAAATTCACATTTTCTTTATGGAAATGGCGAACTAAAGTATCGAATTTGGTAACTACACCTTGCATAGCTGAAAAAAATAAGAAAATAACTAAGTTTCAGTAGAAAACAAAATGTGCCTTTTGCATGGTGATGTCAATGCATTCTTAGTTTTGGTTTTGAATGATACTCAGTGGTTTTCTCATTTTTTCAGCTATGCAAGGTGTAGTTACCAAATTCGATACTTTAGTTCGCCATTTCCATAAAGAAAATGTGAATTTATATTTATTTACGCAAATGGGAACCGCGAAAAAATGCTTCATTATAGACCGAATAGTGAAGCATTTTTTCGCCGTTCCCATTTCCGTAAATAAATATAAATTCATATTTTCTTTATTGAAATGGTGAACTAAAGTAACGAATTTGGTTACTAAACTTTGAATAACTGAAAAAATGAGAAAACCACTGAGATTCAGTCAAAAAAAAAATGTGCCTTTTTGCATGGTGATGTCATTGCGACCTTGGTACGGTCTGCGCACGCGCAGCGAGCAACAGAGTTCACGTCGCGAAAAATTAAACTGTTTGACTATATCAACCGCACGGACGATGAAGAAGTTTTTACCCTTTCTCTTGTAATTTCAAGGAGGAAAGGGAAAAATTTACCCTTCCACATGTTGAAGGTCCAATCGCTGACATAGAACTTCTTCATCATCCGTGCGGTTGATATACTCAAACAGTTTATTTTTCGCGATGCGTCAAAAATGCCATTTTACAGGTCATTATAATTAGTTATTTTACTAATTGCTTTTTATTGCTTATATTCAAAAATGATTTTTTTGGAAACTTTGATACTCTAATTTTTCATTTTCCTAAAGAAAGTGTAAAAATGTTATTTTTTGTGGGAGAATTGGCTGTCGCAAAATTGCGTTTTTAGTGCTGGTGTAGTAACCTTTTGGTTTGTTTACATTTCACAACTTGGACATAGCCTTAAAACAAAACCAAACAATAATTTGAAAAGCAAACTCGTGGTTTTTTGTGTCATCGTTCTGCGTCGTTTTAATGTGAACTTTTAGAAAGCGATTTTATTAATTAATAGTTTCAAATTCTTCAAATATATTCTGTACAACTGTCATCAAAGATGTTTGAGACAGCAACAGGTAAGTGGATTTACATTTTTAGGTTATGTTTTTAAAGTCGCCTGATTTGTTAAAAGAATATATAATACTCAAGTAAAACGATTTTATGCTCAAATTTTCTAATTACGTTCCTTATTATTTTATCGTAGGCGACAATGGTGAAAATATTGAAAATGATGATTCGGTTTATCGATTAATATCGTTTGTGGGTTTCACTGATGAAAGTGGTCGTAAACTTGTAGACGTCGTGCTTTCTTCATGGATTCGGTACAATTTTAAAAGCAAACAATATTTATCTAAATTTCCTCCACCTCCGTACGACGCAAGCTGCAGAAGAAATTTAAATAAATTATTGAAATCTCTCTCTGAAGCTCCGGAAGTATGGCCAGAATACCCTATAAATTTTCAAGGGAATGCAAGTAAGTTTTTTACACAGAAGAAAAAAACAGAATAGGGTAAATGCTCCAATTGCAGGCCTCGGATATTATAGCTTTTTTGACTATTTTCGACTATTATAAAAAAATACGACTTTTTTAAATTAGACAAATTATTTAACAATTTGGAATAATTGAAATTTTCTAAAATTAATTGAAAATAATAGTTTTTTTCAAGTAATTTATTACAATTATTAAAATTCAATTTTTTAAAGAAATTTAATTGCAAATTTTGAAAATAATTAAATTCTCCAAAATTTTAATGAGAAATAAAAATTTGTTTTAAAAAAGCATACTAAGAAATTATTTCGAAAAAGTCATTCTTAGAATTTTGTTATTGATTTGAATTTGAATTTTAATTATTTTCAACATTTTTAAATCAATTCTTCGATGTTTCCAATGATATATTTCCGAAAATGTTGAATATTCACAAAAAATAATTACATTAAAATTTTTTTAAAAATCTAATAGCTAGAAGTTTTAATGAAATGTTGAAGAAAACAATTATTTTGTAAATTTGTAATTAATATAAATCTTCAAAAACCTGATTAACTTATTAAATTTTTTATGCACATAAAAAATTCAATTATTTTTAAAAAATAACATTTTAATTATCTGCAGAAATTGTTAAAGATAGTTAATTGTCTATGAATGATTTTAGTAAAATTGAATAATCAAAATATTAAATATAATTTTTAAAAAATCAATTATATTCAAAAATTGTTACAGTTAAGATTATTATAAAAATATTAAACTTCTGTATATAAGTAATTTAATTCTCGAAAATGTTTTAAAAAATTATTAGAAATATTTAATTCAGAAGAAAAGATTAATTAAAGTAAATATAATTATTTTTTAAAGAATTGCAGTTTTAATTTTTAGAAATATAGTTATAACTTTTAGAATGTTTGATGTAAAATTTTGAAAATTTTTGAAATTCTTGTGAAAAAATAAACGAGTATTTAAATTTTTGTATTTAACAAAATTATTTAATTTTTGAATAATTGAATTGAAAAATTAGTTAAACATGAAGGAAATGGAAAATTTGATGTAAATACTTAAATCCGAAATAAACGACTTTTTCGAACTTTTTTTTATCTTCAATCGATTAAAGTAAATTTTTGCGCCTGAAAGTCGATCCGAGGTCTTCAGTTAATATAATTATAATAATTAATTAATTTAATTTAATTAATTTATAATTATAATTATTATTATAATGTCTTTAATTTTTAAAACTAAATGTAAAATTTTTAGAAACATTTGCCGAAAGCCAAAAAAGATTAAAAGTACTTAACAAACAAGAATTTGCATATACGACAGATGACAATGTTGATCGGAAAGTAGAAGCTACAAAGCGAACATATAGGAGCAAAAAAATTAAAGTGGAACCAGAAGTAGAGAAAACTGTTTTCAATGTTCCAACTATTAAACTTACACAAAAATTTACAATCAAAGAAAACGGTAAATAATATTATACTGATACAATGAATTATTTTATCTTTAGTTTTTTTTAGTGATGTAAAAATTTTTTAATTAAATTAATAAATTGTACTAAATTTATTAATTTTAATTTACAGAACATGATGGATTGCAAGACAGCGATAGTAACCTAACAGGTAGGATCCTAACATTTTATATTTTTTCTTGGTATTTTTTTATTACTTTTAATTAATTTTCATTTAATTTGTAGATTCAAACGACTCAGACAGCAGCGGTGCTTCAGTTTCAAGGAAAGGAGATAAAAAGAATTTACAAAGATTTAAGAAGAGAAAAATAGGTACATAATATTTGACCGTTTTTATGTTTTGTTTCTAATAATTTAATTCGTAATTGCTTTTATTCCATTAAAATTAAAAATATTAAATTACAGATGCTAATGGCTTGAAAGACAGCGATGAGTCAGTAGATGACTTAGAAATAAAGCCAATAGTTAAAAAGGAAAAACGCCTCTCTAAACTAAAAACGAAAACACTAAAAGAGACACAGAAAACAAAAAAAATCTTTACCGGTAAGATCAGAACACATTTTCAATTTTCTATGGCTATTTAATTAAACACATATTAAATGTAATATAAAAATATTATATTACAGAAATTAATGACTTGCATAATAGCGATGAATCAAGGGATGATTTAGAAATAAATCACCAAATTAAAAAAGAAAAACGCATATTTAAATCAGAGCAGAAGATGCCAAACGTCTCAAAGGAAAAAGAAGAAACTTTTACTGGTAATATCAGGACATATTCTATGTTATATTGCTATTTATTTATTTATTAAAAAAAAAAATATATATATATATGTAATAAAACATAATATAAATTTATTACATTACAGATACTTTTGACTTGCAAAATACCGATGAATCAATGGATAATTTAGAAATTAGGCGGAAAGATGAAAATGACAAGATATCAAAAGTCCTAAAGGAAAAAGGAGAAATTTCTACTGGTATGATTAGGACATACTTTATTTCTTGTTGCAATTTTTTAATTTCTGTAATTTATATTCAATTTGTAGATTTAATCTCCATGGATAGCAGTGAACAAGTGATTAAAAATATTTCGTCAAACGAACAATCCGAAAGTGATTCAAAAGCTTTTAGGAAGAGAAATGCCGGTATATTTTTTTTTGAATATGTTTTAATAATTTAGAGTAACATTTCTTTTATTTTATTAATACTAGAAACATGAAAATTTAGATCTTATTGATTTTAAAAATAACGGTGACTCGATTGTTGGTGAGCAAAAAATGCCGAAAACAAATAAAGATTCTTCCAAATCAAGACAATATATATATACCGACTCAGAAGACAGCGAAACATCAGTTTCAAGGAATTATGTTAAAGGACTATTCAATACCAACAACATAATTGCAACTGAACAAAATAATGAATATTCTCAAAATTATAAGGAGAGAAAAACAAGTATATATAATATTACGCTGACATATTTATATGTTTTTTTACAGTTTTATCTACATTCTTTATGTTTTCTTTTTTAAGTCTATTGTTTTATTCGTCTTAATTAATTAATTTTAAAAACATTACATTACAGGTATTAATAAACTGCATAACTCCACTGATGAGTTGGAATCAATGTCGATGAGTAGAGTTGAACAAAATTTATTTATAACAGAACAGTATGCAATTGAACCAAAATCTGGATCTTCAAAACCATCGAAAACGCAAGAAATCATGATTGGTCGAACTGAAATTCCGAAGCAGCCGAAATTAGTGCCGAGTAATGAATTTTATGGAAAATTAAAATTTAATTGTATATATAAGTTTAATAGGGTATCTAGCGAACAGGGAAACCGGGAATTTAGTACGACAGTGAAAAACTAGAAATTTTCCAAAAAGATTCTGAAATTTCTATAACTAGTTCTGTCAATTCTTTAAAAAATAAAGTAAAAATTTAACGTTCATTCACAATGAATTTAAAAAAATTCTTTTTTGACCAATTTTGGACGTTCGAAAAAAAGGAAGGTTTAGAAAAATTTTAAATCTTATTATATCGACATTTTGAAAGCCTGGAAGTTGCCAAAAATTTGAAAATAATAATTCGCTAGTCAATCTGAATACACTACTTTTATTTTTTTTAAACAATTTTTTATATATTTTGTGAATATATTTTTGCTAATAAAATTACTATTAATTTTAGGAAGTAATTCCAAACTAGATGAAAATCAGTACCTTTACATTTTTAACCCAGTACCTTCTGCAAAAGAAAAAGGTATAAAAACTTGCATATTTATTAATTATTAAGAAATGTATTATTATTTATCCGTTGATTTTTTAACTCTTTTCAACAAATAAAATTTTTTTAATACTTGATTTTTAGGGGAACCACTTCTTTTATTGTCGCGAATTTTAAAAGGCTTACATGTTATACATCTAAGTCTATTATCGTTGGAACGACAAGTATCGGCAATGGAGACGAGAATTGATGCCTCGTGTGGTACTAATGAATTACCGCAAAACTTCTCAGAAAAATACAAATTATTATTACCATTGGAAACGATCCAAGACTTTGAAAAAATGGAGTCGACACTCGAAAACAATATCGCCTTTAAAGCAGATTTTGTTAGTAAAAAATTTTATTAATGCTATTTTTGTTCTTTACATATTCATGGCTAACAGAAACTTCGATCTTAGTAAAAAATATTTCTAATGAAAAAATTAATTTTTAGAAACTTACATTATTCAGTTTACTGGACAAAGATGATATCTTGGTTAGAACATTAACCAACATTTTAAAATGTTACCTAATGAGAAATGTTGTTTTACATTTCAATGCGAAGAAACCATCAGAAAAGAGGCCAAACGTTTTCAAAATAACTGAATTTTCTAAATGTATTTTTGGTAAGAGTTTTTAATTGTTATTTACATATTTGAATTTTTTTCAAATTTTTCAAATATTATATTTTTATTCTGTTGCAGAATTTTTAACAGCATATTATTCAAAAAAGACTATAAAGCTTACAGAACAAGAATATTTATCTAAATTAAGCTCAGTTCTGAGCAACGCTATAGACTGGGAAGGATTTCGAGCATTAAGAAACAAGAAATAGATTTCTTTAAAAGAATTCTCTTAAAGACGACATACGAAATGCATATTAATCTAAGATTTAATGTTTCTGTTAATTAATATTTAAAATTTACATTTAAAAATGTATGTAATAATTCAAGTGTTCACTTTCTACAAAACAGTATTAATAACTTTAAAGAAAAAAATTAATAAATATATTATTCTATTATTATTATGAATATTATTATAAAAGAACTGGTTAATTTTAAAATGTTCAACATATGTAACTATTTTTTAAACTGTTATTGTAAAGAAATAAATAATTTTTTATGAAAATTAATAATTATTAATAATTATTTATTCTTAAAATTTCCAGAATTAAAAAAATTATTATACAGCAAATAATGAATAAATTTTTTTATTAGGCTTGGGATTAAGAAAAGGTTACCTTTTTCGGAATTAAAATCTTGCCATAACTTAAAACGAAACGTGTAATTAATTCTTTAAATATGTATAATTTCCATTGTAAACAGATAATTAGTAAATGTTTTTTATATATACTTTTACTTAAAGTCATCAAATGAAATGACATATAAGAATAATTGTTTAATTCGCGCAATAAATTTTTGGCAGGTGAGGTTATGTACATTCTGTTATGTTCGCATTCTAGCACTGCGAGCAGAATGCGAGGAAGGTGCTAGAGCACAAAAGTGTTTCAAATGCTCTCAGCGCCACTACAGCGCAATGGCGTGCGAGAGTGGCACCTTACTAGCGCCACCAAATTTTTCTACTAGGGACGGAATCAAAAAATTCAAACGGATTTATTAAAATATAGGTAAGTGGTTACAGCCGGAACTAAAATCATAATTTTTAAATAATTTTTAACCTGTTTTTTAAACAATTTTAGTTGCAAAAGAAGGTTTAAAAAAGTAAAAAGTCCGCCATTTTGTTATTTTTCAATAAAAAATTTTTATTTTAGTTCCGGCTGTAACCACTTACCTATATTTTACTAATCCGTTTGAATTTTTTAATTCCGTCTGTTCTGACTAAAGATATCATGTCAACCAGATTTTCGAGATTTTTTTTTCAAGTCGACATTTCTTCGCTATTAAGAACAAAAAAAATAGAAAAATTTTTTTTTTATTTAGTTTAATATATGTGTAATAATATGTAAAAATTTTAAAATGTTTTTAAATAAATTTCACTATGAAAAAAAAATTCTTCAAAATACGTGCAAAAGACCCAGACTGCCCCCTTAAACAAGATTTTTAGTTTCAAATATTTTCATATTAAATATCAATAATAATTTAATAATTTAATAAAATGAAAAATAATAATAAATATAATAAATAAATAAAATAATTTAAAAAATTAATAATAATCTAAGTTTCATATTTAAATCGTCTTAATCGCGGGGCCCCCAAAGTCGCGAGGCCCCGGGATTTCGCCCGGTTTGCCCTATGGTAGTTCCGCCACTGTTGTTCACACAGTTTTTCTGAAATTCACTCATTCATTCACATATTTGGATAATTAATCACACAAACAAAGAACAATTATTGTATCACTTTTCGACGTTCGTCAACACTTATAAACTAACCTATAACACACACATATATTCGCGTATAACTTAAATATAAACACACACTTAACACTTAAAAGTACGTATCGAATTGTTCTTATATACCACATGGTGAAATTTTTCACAACTTCTGAGATATGCTATTTCACTGAAAACTGAGACTTACATAACATTCTGTTTTGTGAGAAACACAAAATAAAAAATATTTTTTTGAAAGTCAATTCTTGAAGACAAATATATATTAACACTATTTGTTTTTCATAAAATAATAGTATATTCACATCTGAAATTAACACAAATGGAAACAGACGATCAGCTGGCATTTACCTTGGGTAGAAACGCGCAACGCACACTGCGCATGCTCTACAGAATTTTCAAGCGCAGTCAACTAATCTTTCACGTACTTTATAAAACTGAACAAATGACTTTTCGTTAAAATTTAAAAAACACTGTTGCCCATACTAGTACTAGAATAACTCTAGGACTTTTCTATATTTTCTAATAAAAAGTATATGATACAGCCTTGTATTTTGTGTCCTATCCAAAAGTCAAGCACTTTCAAGGAAGGATTCACGTACTTTTTTTCCGTGTATTTGGTATTTCCCACTGTTAATCAAATTTCATTTCTACTAGTGGGCCCCAAGGCTTTACTCGCCCCAGGGCCCCGGCCTCTCTTGTTACGCTACTGACTGGAGTCGCCGTGTCAGTTGCGAGAACGGTTACAGCGTCCCTCTTTCGGCAGAGATAAGAATTGTCACGTAAACTGCGGGTATAATAAGGCCGTCGGTAAAGCGATTTAGCAGTTTACGTGACAATTCTTATCTCTGCCGCAAGAGGGACGCTGTAACCGTTCTCGCAACTGACACGGCGACTCCAGTGTATATAAGTATCGAGAGATTCGTCGCGAGACCAGAGTATATCTGCGAATCTGTTTAATGACGCGGATATATCTTGCCTATCATTGATTTTTCAATGATAGAATTTTTTTGCAGAATGCTATTTCGATTATTTCCTAATAGTTGCTGCATTTTTAAATAATTATAATTTATAAATAATAAATTATTTATAAATAATGAATTACACAGGCCAACAAAATTTGATTAAATTTACTTTCCAAGAATTAGACAATACTTTTCCGAAGGATTTCGACGTGCTGAATTCGAATCTGGCCTTAAAATAGACCCATCACGTCAGGTTTTCGAGATATTTAAACCTAAAGTGCAAAAAACCTGTTTTTAGTTATATTTGATGTCATGTAACATCAAGAGATAATTTTTTATTTAAAAAGTCAATATTGCTTCTAAAAGTGCTACTCTTCGCCTTTAATATCCACTTTGAAAATTTAAAAAATCTTCATTTGTCTCTGAGTAATCGTTCATTGAATTTTTTGAGTTTGGCGAATTCTTCGAAAACTGAGTAGAAACAGACAAAACTTCGATAATAAAGCAGATTTTAACTACAAACATCTAAATTTTAAATAGTTCTAAGGATTTTCGAGATAACTGAATACGAATTCGATATCAGATTGACAGAATTCAAAATGGCATATTTAAGGAAAATACAATCAATTTTAAATAAATCGTCTGCCATATTATATGCGCCATTTTGAATTTTGTGAATCTAATATCGAATTCGTATTCAGTTATATCGAAAATCCTCAAAACTAATTAAAATTTAGATGTTTGTAGTTAAAATCTGCTTTATTATCGAAGTTTTGTCTGTTTCTACTCAGTTTTCGAAGAATTCGCCACACTCAAAAATTTCAATTAACGATTACTCAAAGACAAATAAAGATTTTTTAAATTTTCAAAATGGATATTAAAGGGGAAGAGTAGCACTTTTAGACGCAATATTGACTTTTTAAATAAAAAATTATCTCTTGATGTTACATGACATCAAATATAACTAAAAACAGGTTTTTTGCACTTTTAGGTTAAAATATCTCGAAAACCTGACGTGATGGGTCTATTTTAAGGCCGGATTCGGATTCAGCACGTCGAAATCCTTCGAAAAAGTATTATCTGATTCTTGGAAAGTAAATCTTGTTGGCCTGTGTTATTTATTATTTACATGAATTATTAAAAATAAATAATTAAACAAATAAATATATTAAACAAAAATTATAAACATTAATTTTTTATTATTATTATTTAATTAAAAAATTTATTTAAAAAAATTTTTTCTCTTGGTTGCCAATATTCGGCCAATATTGGACCAATATTAACAACCGATGCTTAGCGAACCCGTTACATCCCAAGCATCAGCCCATATTGGTCCAATATTGGGAGTCAATCGGCGCCTA